GCCTGGCAAGCGCAAGGTCGTGAGTTCGGTTCCCGGTACCGGAGAAAAACCAAAAAAAAAAAAAAAAAAATTATCAGTAATGTTATAATGATTAACCTAATAACAAAACAACCAACAATAACCGAAAACATTCAAAGCTCCTTGGGAACCAAAACTTCATAAACAAAAAAGCAAATAAACTCCCAATGACCTTTTAAAGTTGCATTAAAACTTAAAATTTGTCATTCCAAGTAAATACTCTTAAATCCACTCATCACTCAAGTTTTACAGTGATTCCTATGATTTGGTGACTACCACACGTAGGGTGGAGGGGGGCATCCCCTACGTAGCAGGATTTCTTTGTTGTTCAGACACTCTGTAAAGACAGATCGGGTTTCAGTTTATTTTCCTACCAACCAGGTCAGGATGTAAGCTTCTGCTGCATCAAGGGGTAAGCAAAGGGGAGCACTTAGAGAAAAGGGGCACTTTGAGGCCACTCATAACACTGAAAGGTGCCACCACAGACATTATGACACATGCAAACACACACCAGAGTTTTACACGTCGCTAACTTCTAGAGCAGTGCTCCTCAAAATGTGGTCCTCAGCAAGACACCAGCCTATGGGGGAACTGTTAAAGATATACAGAGTCCCAAGCTCTACCTACAACCTGAGAATTGGACTCTTTGGAAGTGAGGTCTGGAGGTGTATACTTTAACAAGCACACCAGATGATTTCTACGTACTGATATGGTTTAGATCTGGGGTGTCCCCCCAGAGCCTTGAGTGTGTGGAAGTGACTGGATCATGGGGCCGCTGGAGGGGTCCACTCATGGGTTCAGTGCTGACCTGCAGTGAGAAGGACCGGGCCTGGCTGGAGGCGGGTCACTGAGGGTGTGACCTGGAAAGTTATTATCTCCTTCCCAGGCTCTTCCCTTCACTCTCTGCTTCCTGGCTACCAGGACATGAGCAGCTTTCCTCTTCTGTGCCACTTCTGCGTTGGAATCTGCTGACCGTGGACTGAGAGTGTCAGCCAAAATAAACCTGTCCTTTAAGTTATGGGTATCGGGCATCGTGTCCTAACTAAAAAGTGACTAAGACACACACGTTGCACCACTGTTGTAGGGACTGACTGCTTCGTAATAGATACTACCCCTGCAGCTCAGGAAGCTACTTCGAAGTGGATGGTAGTACCTATCTGAAAGCATGTCTAACAAATTAAGCTTAAAGTAACAATAAACCATTTTGTGCATTACAATAGACAGCCATGACACTGGTATGTAATAACACATTCAGCAAAAAAGGGGCTTAGAGGTCTATTAAGTTTAAAACTACGGACTAATGTATAAACAAACAATAGCAGTTGCTATGTACTAAGCTCCTGTTCTGTGCCTGATGTTTTACCATGAGTTTTATATACATAATTCTCATTAATTCATAATTACCCTATGATAATTACCCTATGAAGCATCTTCATTTTTAAATTTTTTGGTAGTACTGGAGATCGAATCTAGGACATTTGCACTGAACTTTATCCCCAGCCCTTTTTAGAGAGATATGGTCTTACAATCCTCCTGGCTCAGCCTCCCAGAGTGCTGGGATTACAGACCTGTTCTACCATACCAGTCAATGTATCCTTATCTTACACATTAAGAAACTAAAGCTTAAACCAGGCATGGCAATGTAATCCCAGCACTCGGGAGGCTGAGGTAGGAGAATCGTTGCGAGTTTGAGACCAACCTGGGCTACAAAGTGAGCTCAAGGCCAGCCTGAACTGCATAGCAAGACCCTCTCTCAATTAAAAAAAAAAAAAAAGTTAAAAAAAGAAACTAAAGCTTATAAAAACTGAGCTATTCAAAGTCACAATGATAGTATATGGTAAAGTAAGATAAACTGCATATCCACACAGTAGAATCAGTAATAACAAGGAACTAACATGTAACAATATTAATGAATTTCCATAATAACGCTAAATAAAAGCCAGACAAAACTAATACATACTACATGCTCCTTATATTATACTTATATAATACTATAAAATATACAAACTCATCCAAACTGACAGCAAATCAGTGGTTAGCTGGGGGATGAGAGTGCAGAAGGGACAGGAGAGCTGGGTCATAAAAGGATGTGACAAACTTTGGGGGGTGATGCAGATGCTTACTCTTCTGATTTTGATGATCAAAATTTATCAAATTATATAATTTAAACACATGTAGTTTACTGTATGTCAATCATAGTTCTTTATAAATCTGTCTAAAAGAAGCACAAAAGAGAAAAGCAAATGGAAGATCTAAGTATAAAGTATTTCATCCTTAGCTGTCATGTTTTGTCATTCTTCAGTAAAAATATCTGTCGCAAATATGGTAAAAAAAAAAGTAGCATCTATGTGTGTATGTGTATGTATGCATGTATGTATGTATGGCTGTGGATCAAAGCCAGGGCCTCATGCTTGCTAGGCAAGAGCTCCAACACTAAGCAACATCCCCAGCCCTTACATTCAATTTAATCTTATGTTCCTTAAGCATCTTTTCCCTTTTTCTTTCTGAAGTTAAAAGATTTACTATGGGCCACAACAGAGTCAGTTTTAACTACAGCCACCAAGTGACCTGTACAGCTGTTACTCTGACCTCTAAAACCAAGGAAGAAATAACACAAACCTATAATGATCAACAACAGTGAATCAGTGCTCTTCCAAACTACTAATAATGTTACTGCCACCAAAAGATTAGAGCAAGCGTTGGACAAAAAGAAAGAAATGTTGAATGAATCCATGTATGGCAGACATTTCTTAAGCCAGGACCTAGACACTAGTGTTCAAAAAAACAAAAGCCCTAAAGTGGCACAAAACACAATTCAAGTAAGTACAGAGGGATACTAATAATTTGGGCATTGCTGACCTGAGGAATAATGCGGCTCCTCTGTAACCAAGGGCAAGTGCAGGGAAAGCCTTAAGGGAGAAAATGAAGGTATGTCTAGAAGCTATCAAGGTAACAAATTCATCACAAAAATGATGGGCTTAATAGCTAGGAGAACACAGAAGTGCAAAAATATAAAACCAAAGTGTCCTTCAGCATAATCAGTATAAAGACTACCAAGGATTTATGACCTGAACCCTCCCGAAGAGAGCCACTGAGGTCAGCCCTATCGCATACATAGCATATCTCCTAAGATGACAACTTACAGTTAGAGCCAACTGTCAATTAATACAGTTAAAATCCATTATTGGACCTTACAGTTGATTTTTTTTTTTTTTAAAGTAACCTGCTATGAATCAAGAAAACATGTAAATACTGGGAGCCACAGTTGGCTGAATTACAACAGTGCATAACAGACACTGAGTTAACTGAGGACCTCCCCATACCACCCTGACCAAGCAGAAGGGCTTGCAAGCCTGCTCTGGGAGGGGGAGATGGGGGATCACTCTGCTGAAGGCTGTCAGCAGGGGGTGGCAGGGCGCTCAGAGCGGAAGCAAGTATCAACAGTGCCTGTGGAGTCAAGTCTGAAGGGTCAAGTGTGCAGGAGCACACAGATGGAGATTTGTCTCAATCACATTACTGCACAAAAGAAAAAGTCAGCTAAGAAACAGAGCAAGACAGCCCTTTGATACTTTTCTGTTAAGTAATTCATAAACATATTTACATATGTGAATCATTTCACCTTACTGGGAGGCAGGAAATTAGGTGTGCATGGGGGCAGCTCTACAGTCAGAATGCAAGCTGGGATGAGCCTCAGTGGTAGAGTGCTTGCCTGCCATGTGCAATGCCCTGGGTTCCATTCCCAGTACTGCCTGGGTTTGAACTCTGGCTCTGGCTTGGAGTCTTATAAGCTCTGTGCCTTGCCAAGTGATATCACCTCTTTGAGACAGTTTCCTCACCCATAAAACAGGACTAAAAACATTTTACCCACTGTTGTGATTTTTGTGAGCATTGAGATGAAGTATGTACCAATCTTAGAACAGTGTTAATGTTTACCATATTTTTATGCAAAGTGACCAATGTGTTCAGGGTCTTGCTATGTAGCCCAACCTGGTCTTGAACTCATGGTGACCCTCTTGCCTCAGCCTCCTAAGTGAGAGGATTACAGGAGTGGGACACCATGCCAGCGGTGTTAAATTTATAGTACATCCTTTTTTTGTAAATGTTTTGAGTATCTGTTGTTTTATTTTTGCTTTAATCTTTGATTTGGGGTTATCCAAGACCACCTTCTGACTCATTTTATCCTTGATTTATCAGGAAGGAATTTATCAGGAAGGAACAGTGTGCAAGGCTGGATATGGTGGTGCATGCCTGTGATCCTAGCACTCAGGAAGCTGATGTGGGAGAATCATAAGTTTGAGGCCAGCCTGGGCAACACAGCAAATTCAAGGCTTGCCTAGATAACACAGTGAGACCCTGTTTAAAAAAAAAGAAGACAAGAAAGGGGGAAAAAAGGAAGTAACACCAACATCAATGATAAGCTGGGATTCTCATGGTGATCAAAATACAACTTCATTTTTGTTTGGTTGTTTATAACTTCATTTTGAAGTGATCTTGTCTAGTGCTTTTGCAAAACTTCTCTATAGGGAATAAATGACCAAAACATTCACGACTGAGAAATTTGAAACCCTGGGGTATTTTGCATATTCATACTTCTACCCGTAAGGACAGTTGACCCCATACCCTAAGGACACTGAATTAGGAAAAGTAAAGCTTACTTACCTCCTTCTGTGGGCCTTTAATTTCTGGACATTCTTCTAGCCTTGTCAAAAGATCCTGAGTAACCAAGAGTGCATCTGAGAAAACATTTTCATTTTCTAGAAGAAAACTCAGCTGGTAGTGTTTCCTCTCACATTCTAAATGTAAAACAAAATAAAACAAAACAGCAATTTGTTCCTTGAAATGACCTTGAATAAAGTTTTCAGCTGTCAGAGACCTGAACGTCACAGACTGCGCACTTAGCACCTCAGTGCTGAGCAACAGGCACCCGTGTCTCCCCCAGATCCCTCCTGTGCCGCTCTTAGCCTGCTTAAAACAATGGGTGAGGATCGGATCGGAGGGACACTGTCACTTCAATACCCCTCTTCTGCCGTTGCTCATCCCCAGGATTTCAACCCTGAAACACACACACACACACACACACACACACGCACACGCACTTCTAAAGAACGCTGCAGTGAGGTGCTGCACTGGAGTTGAGTTTCCTGCCTAATAGTGGTCTGTAGTAAATTTATCAATGAAAGAAAAACTTAACAGAGAGCACCAAATCTAGTAATTGACAACAAAACTACACATTTCCATTGAAGCTAAAATGAAGTTAAACATAAAATTAAATAATCATTACCTGGATCTGTGCTCTGCCCCTTTGCTCCACTCGAGGTCTGTCCAGCAGGTGAGGGGGAACCAACTTCAGCTGGGTGAGGACTCTCCACTGGGGCTTCTGCATCCTCGGGAACCTCCGGGGCAGTGGGAGGACCTGCACTCATCTCTTGTGTCCCTGCATGGATTGCTTCCTGGGCCTTGGCTTTCACAGGGCCCCCTGACGTGACAGAAGCCTCCAGGGAGGTGGAAGATGCCTCCACACCTTCGGAGGAAAAGACTTCTATTTGAGGCATCTCTGTTTCTCTCCTGCAGGACTCTGAGGATGGCACAGAGACGTCTCTTACCACCTGACCCTGCACAGAGCAGTTTACAAGGCTGGTCAGAAGATTCTTACAGCTAACAGCCACATCAAACATCTGCAGGCTGTCGGCTAAAGAGATGATTTTGGAGAAGTTGTGTTTGCCCACGGGTAATTTGCCAGTGTACATCATTTCTAGCAAGAGGGCAAACTCCTCGGGGCTCACCACAGCTGCATCAATGGAGATGGTGTCTGTGTTGTCCAGCAAGGTTTTAAACAGGAGGCTGGCTGCGGCCAGAACGAGCTTGTGAGCCCTAAAGTAAATGGTGCCGATGGAAATGGTGCAGTCACAGAACTGCTGCTCCTTGCACAGTGTGTACAGCTGCTGCAGCAGCTGCCGGCTGTAGTTGGGGAGCTCCATCGCAGGCTCTGTCCCAGGACTTCTGTTCCTTTCTCCTGCCACAACACCACAGGGACACTTCACGAGCACGTAGAAAGTGCCTTATTGCGAAATGCTAACCAAACAAAAAAGCAATTCACTCATTCATCCAACAAATGCTGCTCAATAGGAAGGGGCAGCATGCCAGGTATACAACAATTATAAGAGCCGGCATGGTGGCGCACGCCTGTAATCCCAGCACTTGGGAGGCTGAGGCAGGAGGATCATTATGAGTTGGAGACCAGCAGGCTACAAAGTGAGCTCAAGGCCAGCCTGAACTGCACAGTGAGACCCTGTCTCAAAAAGACAAAAAAAAAAAGAAAAAAAATTATAGTAATCATCATGTGCTTAATTACAGGAGAGGAACTATGCTTAGATCTTTACATGGATAATCTCACTTGATCCTCAAAATGACTCAGTAGAAGAGACATTGTTTCCTCCCCATTTCACAGATAGGACAAGCTTAGCAGGCCCGACAGATGCAGCCCAAGGGAAGCCATGAAATGACCTGCCACATCTCACTGACTTCCCAGCTGTAACCGCACTACTGGATGCTGTTCTTGCCCCCACAGAGCTATTGGCCACCTGGAAGAATATACAGACAGAGACTTCAAGTTGAATGTCCTCAGCATGTTGAAGCTATCTATCTACAGTACTGGACAGGGGCCAACTTTCCCTCTAACATGTACTTTAAAAGATTTTTTTATATTAATACACGCTTTAGTATATAATTTGTAATAATTCTATAATTAGCACATAATTCTATACTCCTTGTGTGGAGTTGGTCCATCACAGGACACATCTTAACTCTTATATCCCCTTCTCCACCTGTACCTCCCTCTCCCCTCCATCTCTTGATCTCCTTCCCATTTGAAAAAGATCTATCAGGGGCTGGGGATTTAGCTCAGCGGCAAAAGCGCCTGCCTGGCAGGTGCAAGGTCGTGAGTTCGGTTCCCGGTACCGGAGAAAACCCCCCCCCAAAAAAAAAAAAAAAAAAAGAAAAAGATCTATCACCCTACTTTCTGTTATCTAACTCTTATTTTGCTCTTTATATTTTGGGATTTCTCATATAACAGAAAAACCATGCAATATTTAAGTCTGTATGTCTAATTTATTTCACTTAACATTATGGTCTCAGGGCCGGGTACATGGCTCAGCGGCACAAGCACCTGCCTGGCAAGAGCAAGGTCCTGAGTTTGATTTCTGGTACCAAAAAACAAAACATTATGGTCTGAGGGTGCATTCATTTTCCTACAGATGACACAAGCTCACACTTCCTTATGGCGGAGCAGTACTCCATTGTGTGTAAATACCAGTTTCTTTATTCATTATCTACTGATGGAGATATAGGCTGTTTCCAAGATTTAGCTATTATGAACTGTGTTGCTATAAACAGGTATATGCACGCATCACCTTACTATGTCTTTAAGTCTTTCGAGAAGATATCTAGAAGGGAAATAGCTGGATCAAACAGAATTTCTACTTTTAGTTTTCTGAGGACTCTCCACACTGATTTCCACCGTGCTTGTACTAATTTGCACTCCCACCAACAATACAGAAGGGTTCCTTTTTCCCTGCAGCCTTGCCAGCATTTGTTAGTATTTGATTTCTTGATGATAGCTATTCTTTCTGGGGTAAGATGGAGTCTCAATGTTGTTTAAATTTGCATTTCTCTAACGGGCGCAATGTTGAACATTTCTTTAAGTATTTACTGGCTACTTGTACTGTTTCTTCTGAGAAGTGTCTATTCATCTCACTTGCTCATTTTTAGACTGGGTCTTTTATTTTGGGGGTCTAACTTTTTAACATGCACTCTTCAGCTGACTCTAGATCAGTGGTGGCGAAACTATGGCACAGGTGCCACAGTGGGCGGTCTGTACCACTGAAAGCTCGGAAAGGTTTGCCGCCAGTGCCCTAGGTGCCCCCACTAACCGACCAGCCATGCCCGCTCAGTTTCTTCTGTTGGCCCCTTTCTGTTCCTTTTTCCACCTCTTGCCTCTCCTTTGAACTCCAGATATACCCCTCCCGTCACCTATTCTACATCTCCAACTGAAAGCCTAACAGGTTTCTGAAACTCTACACCTCCAAAATTGTCCTGCCAGCTTTCCCGCCTTACAGCAGTTCTGTCCTAGTTGTTCAGACTAAAACCCGAGAAGTTGTCTTTGACTCCTGATTTTCTCATGACCTAACTCCAATCCTTTATCAGTCCTCTTAGCTCTATTTTCAAAACATATGCTAAATCCAATCACTAGCCTGTGGTCAGTCCATTTATCTGATTATTGTACTAATCTCCTAACTGGTCTCTATGCCTCTGCCCTTGTCCAGTACTACTCCTACCTCACCCATCTTCAACTTGAGTATCTATTTAGGATATGGTCAAAGCTGGCCGCCTCTTTACACAAAAGCCTCAAAGGACTTCCAGTCTCAGGGTAGAAGTCAAAGTTCTTATAATGGCCTATAAAGCCCTTCATGATCTGGCTACCATCTGGCTTTCTAACCTCATCCTCACCCACTCAGCTCTAAGTATACCACTGCCTTCCTCACTGACTTTGGAACAAACCAAGCAAACTTCAGCCACAGAGTTTCCTTATATGTGCCCGAATGGTTCCCTCCCTTCCACTGTTTCTGTTTATTAAGGTTTGGATTAGGAATGCCTCTGAAAGTTGCATGCACAACGGTAATCCCAGGAAGCTGAGGCAGGAGGATTGCTAGGAGTTAAGGGCCAGCCTGAGCTATACAGAGGGACCCTGTCTCTAAAAAAAAATAGAAAAAAAAAGGAGGAGGAAGAGAAGGAGGGGTTGGAAGGGGAGAAGCTGGAGAAGGAACTGCAGCAGCTGCAGCAGCACCAAGATGGCCTCCCCAAAGGCTAGGGTTCAGAAGTGGGGCTTTGGAAGGAGACTGGATCTGGGGGGCACTAACTCATCAGTGGGTTCACAGCCAATGTGCTGGTAGGAAGTGGGCCTGACTGGAGAAGGTGGGTCCTAGGGCATAACATGGAAAGGGCGTATTCTTGTCCCTGGCCCCTTCCTCTCTCTGCTTCTGGCCACCATGGAGTGAGCAGCTGTCCTCGGCCACACTCTGCTGACCATGTTTCTGCCTTGGAGCCAGGAAACGACAGACTGAAACCATGAGTCAAAATAAACCTTTTCTCTTTTGAGCTGTTTGTGCTGGGTATTTAATCAGAGTGACAAAAAGCTGATTTACCCTGTATGTAAGGGCCGTATGGATTGAGAATCCCGAATCTGAAAATCCGAAATCACGAACTTTCTGAGCGCTGACATGATGCAACAGTGGAAAATTCCACACTTGACCTCAGCCGATTAGCTGCAATCAGCACTCAGGGACATTACAAATACTGGTTGAAATTACCATCGGGCTATGTGTATAAATGAATTTTGTGTTTAGACTTGGGTCCCATTGCCAAGATGTATCACTTGATATATGCACATATTCCAAAATTAAAATAAAGAGCCAAAACATTTCTGGTCCCAAGCATTTCTAGCAAGGAGCACTCAGTCTGTACATCAGTGAGGCCTCCCGTCATCATGTTCTTTAGAGCGTCACCTCCCCTAACCTCATGACATCCCACTCTGCTTTTCATCACAGCACTCACACCTACCGACACACTGTATTTCCAAGTGTTTATCGTCTATCTCCCCTCACTAGAACATAAGCTCTGGGAGGGTAGGATCTTTACGTGTGCTATATCCCAGGGCTTAACATTCCGCCTAACCCAAATCTTGCTGGCTGACTGTAGAATGATCAATAACAGGAAGATGTAATCACAAGGGATTTGTGCACAGAAACTCAGCTGGGGACAGGGGAGTCCAGGAGTTTTGAGGAAGCTTTGAGGAAGAGGGAACAGCTGGCTTGGTTCGTACATGACGCACAGACGCTGAGGAGGTAAAAAAGGTGGGAGGAAAAGGCACTCCTGGAGAAGCCTGCATGAGGTGCACAGAAAGGAAAGCATTCTGTAGTGGCAGGGAGGAGGGTGAGGAGGACGGTGGCACGGAATACAAAGCTGGGGATAAGGAGAGACAAGAGGCGAATCTGGAGAGCCAGCCAGAGGTGCTGGCCCCGAAGGATATACAGGCCATGCTTAGGAGCTGTAATTTTCTCATTAAAGGGATGAATGTGGGAGAGTCGCATGGCCAGATATGCATTTGAAGTATGTGTTACCTCTGGGGTATTTCTAAAGAATTTAAGAGGGATAATGTTAAAGACAGATTTTATTATTGCAGATCACGAAGAAATCAATAAGGGTTTTGGCAGTGAGAAGTGGTAACAGAAGAGAGAGACAGGAGAGAGTCAAAGAATGTGTAGAAAATGTAATAGTCATGATTTAGGAACTGAATAGATGTGAATGAGAGAAACATTCAAAAATCAGTGAATGAGGGCCAGAGATTTAGCTCAGTGGCACAAGTGCCTGCCTGGCAAGCATAAAGTCCTGAGTTCGATTCCCAGTACAAAAAAAAAAAATTAATTAATGTATTCCATAATGTCAAACACGTTAAAAAAAAAAAAAGCACATCTCATCAATGATGCAGAAAGAGAATTTAATGAAATCCAACACGCATTGATGATGAAAACCCTCAACAAACTAGAAATAGAAAGGAACTTCCTCAACCTGACAAAGACAGTCTATAGGGTGAGCATGTTGGTACATACCCCTAATTTAGAACTTAGGAGGTTGATACAGGAAGATTCCAAGTTCAAAGCCAATCTGGACTAAATAGTGAGATACTATCTTAAAAAAAGAACATTTGCTAAAAAACTCTATATGTACATCATATTTGAAGGGTGAGAAATGAATACCCCCCCAAAAAAAGAATGCAATAACATTGTGCTAAGATCAGGACCAATGTATGCATGTTTCCTCTTAACCCGCTTTTCAACACTGTACTGAATTACTAGCTAGTGCAACGAGGCAAAAAGAAAACAAGATTGGAAAGGAAAATACAAAATTGTTTTTGTTTGCAGATGACATGATTATCTATGCAAAAAATCTAGTAACTGACTAAAAAAAATCCTTCTTGGAAATAATAAGCCATTATAAGAGGATTGCAGGACACCAAG